CAGTCTCTTGATCTGTGATTCATGTTTTCTTTCCCCTTTCCTCCCTCTCTTTTGTGCGCACACACACACAGAGCAGCCAGGCAGATAGATAGGTGTGTCTCCTAACGTCAGGAGGGTCTCTGCAGCTCTTCAGCCCCGGGAGAGCAGGCATCTAAGCACCTCCAACGTTGTTGTCTACTGTAGATGATGATACAGCGTGAGCTTGGCAGCAAGGGTGAAGTGAAGATTAAGAGGGCAATTGGACATGGAATAAATATGGAGTACGTTGGATGCAATTAGATGTGCTATGTGGGTGGGGGTGGGGTGGATTCAGAGGGCATTAGGTGAAATAGAATCACTTAAAGAGCATAAAGGAGATGTTGCTGGAGTGGAGCATATAGACTGGCCATTTGTTTGACTTGTAAGGAGATACCACCAAAGCCTATGGAATGTGAATAGGCTACTACATTGAATTTAATATTACTTTTAAAGCATTAATGATTTGGACACTGAAGATTTATTCCATAGAAATTACATTGAGAAAAGGGAATTGTGTCCAAATGTGACAGAGGCCTTGCCTTTATTTTGATGTGGGTCTTATGTTGTTCTTTATTTGCATCTACTGCAAATGTGCTACTCAAAATATATCATGATTGTAGCCACAGATGTTCACTGAGTGATACCTGGTGAAAGTTAGTAGTCAGGTTTTTGATCTCCCAACAAACTTCGCCACCACCCATCCCTGACCTTTTATTGGCAGGTGCCCTGCTGTGGCCCCTTTATCTTGTCGACCTGCGGAATGCCAGAGCTTTGGCCCCCAGCCGACAGGAGGTTGTTTATCGCCCTGTCTGTCAGAGGAGAGCGAGAGCGAGAGAGAGAGAGAGAGCGAGAGAGCTGCTGAACTGCGACAGCAACTCCGCGGTGGTTTTAGCTTGTGAGTCATCGCTAGAGGGTTTAACTCTTCATCTGCCACGGAAAGGGGTGGCAGTGATGGAAAAACAGCATGTTGTTTTACACAGATATGACCAAAAGTGCTTTTGTGTGTGTGTGTGTGTGTGTGTGTGTGTGTGTGTGTGTGTGTGTGTGTGTGTGTGTGTGTGACATGTGAAAGGAAAAGTGTAATTTTGGGAACATGTGGAATATAGTTTTAAGATAGTCTCATGAAAGTGGTGTCTTAATCTTCTCATGTTTGCGTTAGTTGGAAAGGAACATTTGGATCTTGTTCCTCCGATATAAGAGCTCCTTTCAATAAAAAAACATGTTCATGCAGGGTGAACAGTTTAAATGTCTCGATGGATGAATATTCACATAGGCTAAACACATATCGCTCTGTATTAGACATGGTCAGCAGTCCTGAAGTAAATATTTTTAAAGATCTTTTTTTCTCCAGTCTGTAGCTTTCACAGAGCAGTGCAGTACAACAGACAGCGGAGAGAACTATTTTTAATACAGCGAGGTTTAAGTAGTCTATGCCATATGATAAACCTGAATCATGGGTGTTGAAGGACAGACTATTGCGTGTGTTGTGTGATGACGCGGTGGTCAGGTGTTCTCCTCATATAACGAGTGGAGCTGTCCAAGTGCTGAAAACAGAAGAGAACAGCACCGCTTCAGAGGAGATGCCATACACCTTCACTGCTGTCTGAGCTTTATTGCCAAAGGTAATATTTTTAATTTAAACAATATAGCCTATATTTTAGTTATTTTTTATTTATTTATTTATTTTTAGCTCAAATGAACATCCCAATGTCTTAGATTGGAGGATAGCCTTGTTTTCCCACACTCGCTTTTCGCAGATGTAGCCTATGTTGGATGTGGGTTTTCAGTGCGATGAAAAGCATCCTCAAAAGGTATTCGGCTTTTTAATGAAGGCTTGTGTTATTAAGACGAAATCGGATGTTGAGGTTGCCCATAACAACGGGGGGAGTGACTCATCCAGTGCTGTGAATGTATCTCCTCGCGCACAGCATCACAGCATCATATCATTCAATTTGCAGAGCGACTCCCTGGTAGGTATACGGTATACAAATCCCAGAACAAAACAGACTCGCTCAGGCTCGTGCTCGCTGCTTTCCAGTAAGTTTTTGTCCGGGATAATTAGAAACAGAAATCCGAGTAAATGTAGGCTACTTTGTTGGTTTTTTCCCCCACTTCTTACACTAATATGTTATGCTCTCTTGATATTGCAGGTAATAAATAGCCTATAATGCTGCATTTCCACCACAAGTTGCCCGCGGGGGGAGCCGTGGTCCTGCTCGCCTTCCTCCTCCATGGATGCGCCGTGCAGGCTGCGTCTCTCCCCCGCCACTACAGGCTCCGAGGCGGGGAGAGTGAGGGGCAGCCGGCTGCCTACCCACCCAGCTCCGACATGATCAAAGCCCTGGAGTACATCGAGAACCTGAAGCAGCGGAACGGGGGCCGAGCAGAGCCCGTGGATTACGACGAAGTGGACAAGTTCAGGGTTCTGCTTCAGCTCGCCTCGCAGCAGGACGAGAGTCCCGGGGACCGTCAGCCTGCCCCCGGCATGCAGAGGCAGGACATTAACGCTGAGCAGCTTATGAAAGCCCTGCTCAAGTCTCTCCAGGATCAGGCCGGGAAAGACGCAAAGGTCAGCCCCGCATCGGCGCCCAGGAACGACCGCCGCACACACAGGCACCGCACCAAAGACACTGAAGTCCCCGAGAGCGCGCCCGTAGACTACGGTAATTTCCCCAGGCCCCACAAGAAATACCCGCTGATGTTTGAGGATGAGGAGAACACAGACGCTTCCAAGAGGGCCACAGAGGACCTGGACGAGCAGTACACACCCCAGAGCCTCGCCAATTTACGCTCCATCTTTGAAGAGCTTGGGAGGATGCCCTCCGTCGCCGGCCAGAAGAGAGACGTGTTCGGGGACGACGATGATGATGAGGACGACGACGGATTCGGCCTGAGAAACCAGGCCTACGAGGATGTTGCCGGAGGAGAGGAGTGGGTCCCCGTAGAGGAGAGGGAGGAGACGGAAGAGATGGTCAACGGGAGCCACGAAGAAATGGACAGGGCGCTCGGAGACCAGGAGGAAGCTGAGAGGGATGAGATACAACGTCGGGCGAGCCAGAACCAAGAGGACGCCGATGATGACACCAAGTTGGTAGATTACTACCTGTTGAAGGTCCTGGAGATGAGCGACCAGACGCAGAAGAGGGATAAGACCGGGGAGCAGAGAAAGAGACTGATCCGCCCCTCCATCGTGGATCCTCGGATAGTGAAGGAGTTGCTGGAGCTCTCCCTGAAGCTCCACGTCCCTCCGCAGGACCTTATCGATATGCTGCTCACAGAGGAGCTCAGGAAGCTCCACCGCGCTCCCCACGCGTCAGCTCGATACCCGACCGGCCAGACCCCCAAGATTAGGTACTTCAGCCGTAGACTGCCAGTGAAGAGTAAGACCACCCCCGAAGACATGGACAGAGAGGACTTTTTAGACATCATCGGCGTGGAGACTATTAGTAACGAGTATCCTGTGGTGCAGAGGCCCCTGAAGACTTCTCCCTCCTCGGACAGAACCCCAGCGGCGCCCAACCCGGTTGCAAATTCAAGTCCAGTTAAAATCCCTCCTCCCTCCGGGCGCAGGGAGAACCTGTTTTTATCCGAGCTCAATAAAATGCCCCTGAAACGTCAGGCCGATGGTGTTGATGATGAAGATGATGATGGCGGCGATGTGGAAGACGAGGTGACGACCTACCTGGCGGCTAAAATCCTCACAGAGTACCCCAACACCATCACCAAGCGGGATACCCAGGCGCAGCTGAAGGGACAGTTCCCCTACGAGCTGTACGAGCGGGCCCTGAAGGACTACTTGGGGCAAGCAGACACTGAAAGGAGGCCAGTGGCAAAGCGGGAAACCGAGGTGGCCACAGAGGACGTTAATCCCACAGAGATGGAAGGGAAAGAGGAGATAACGGCCAAGACCTCGGCTCCACAGACCGCAAATGAAGAAGAGGAGAAGGAGCACCGTGAAAAAACAGTGGCTGGGATGTAGCCTGATGCCCTCCAAGACGCACGAAATTATGAATATAGTATTTATACTGTCTCAAAAATAAAAGTTTGGTGGACGTGATCTAGTTTACAAATTTCTATTGTATGAACTATAGCTGGTATTACTAATATCACCCTAACGAAAATGAACTATAGAAGTCTTACAGGTCCGATGCATTAAAAAAATACTAGTCCCTACTTGCTGCAAGAACATTATAAAAATATTATAGTGATATGATAGGAGATTAAAGGTGCAACTCGTGCACAAATGAGGGGAAAAAGTATCCTCACCACTCTTAAATTGCCTAAAAAATTCAATGACTAATATCAAATTACAATGAAATCCAAGTTATTAAATTTTTGTGATGTTGTTACTTGTTTGTTTACATTAACAGTGTTTGTAAACAGCAGAAAACAAGCCTATATTTTCAATTATAATCAACTTAGTAATGGTAAAAATGCTTATTTTTCATCATCAATTACATATGTGTTTATATCTGTAAATGACAAAGTATAATGCTGACTGGGCCTCTGAAACAAGCATACAGTATAATGACTGGAATATTATAGGGATTTTTCGTTAAGGCAGCGTGCTGCACTGAGAACGAGTGTTGTTGTGATATATTCAGGGTTAGTGGATTTAATGTTATTATGGATAATTTCCAAGTCTAATATCAGACCGTCGCCTGCCTTCCAACCCTTTCATACTGCGAAGCTATGTATTGTTGGCCTACCAGTGGTTGTGCTATGTATGCTCATTTTTAAACCATTTTGTACATGTTCAATAATGTGTGATGAATAACAGATGAATAAAGCATCAGCTGTATTATTTTTCTTCTTGCTGAGTTGTGTTGCCTTATTAAAAAAAATCACATCACATTTTTCTGGGGAGGAAATAATAACTTTTTTAAATCATGTTGACACTAGTACAAACTAAATTCCATGAGGTTTTGGTGAAATCAAACATCAGTATACAATTATTGCAAGAATGATTACTCAGATCAGACTCAGTTTATCAAAATACATATTTTAATCATAAGCTCCAACATCATAAATTGCACATTATAAAAAGCAGTAATATCCACATCAGCAACTTCTTCGTGGAGATGACTCATGGTGCCACACATAGGTTACACAGATTCAAAATGATAAGAAAACTGTCATAATCAGTCTCATTCAAAATGAATTGTTTTACGGTATGAAAGCAAAGCCCATTATCGGTTCATATTGGAATTATAAAGCATCTTAAGGCCATCAATTTAAAATACGTTTTGTGTTTTTGAGACTGAACTTTGCGCCCCCCACACAGTTAGTGGATTTGCAGAGAAACACACAATTTTTGTAGTTGTGCGTCAGAATGAAACCATTCCCTTCCAATATATTAATACATGGTTGTTTAAATATAAATGCAACAATTTCATCAATCTAAAATCACTTAATAGTTATGAACCCCTATCCTATTTTACTGCTTCATTTGGATTTAATAATAGTAATCAAAGAAACCCCCCCCCTTCAATTGAGAGCATGACTATGAACAAATATTAGACTTACTCTCAAAAAAAGTTACATTGCAGCAACACTTCAGGCAGAAGGCAAGCAGGCATTCAATATTCCCATTTCTTCTTTTGAAAATGAAAAATAGAATCAAAGTAAATCCTATTTTTATATTCAGAAACTTCTTTGACTCATATACAGTACATCTGGTTCCTGTATTCCTCCCCGCTGTTACTTTAAGTCCTTTTTCCCCCACGGGTTAAAATGCAGGTTTGCTCATATACTCCTCCATGGTCTAGAAAAAAAAGGCAGAAGAGCAAAAATCGGGTTGCAAAAATGTAAAAACACAAAAGCATTATGATACAATTAATATTCACAGGCACACATCGCTGGTAACTGAATGCTGAGCACACCAACAAAAGGTAACTAACACAAGCAGAACATCTAACCTTTCTGTCCATATTCAAGGTCATCCAAACAGCTCCACCTCATACCAATCACTGTTGTCATCCTGAAGCGATAATGGTCAAAATGAATGGGAGGCTACACTGCACACAGTCCAACTCTAGATTAAATGGTGTTAGTCAGCCCTACTCAGAATCACAGAACACCACACCCAGTTAACTACTGTACCATCAGAGCCACGGACCTACAGGGAGAGCGGGAAGCACCAGCCAGATACTAAACCTACGGCACGTTACAGGAAAATCTGTCTCTCACTCGCAATAACGCTGGCAGAGAGAGAGAGAGAGAGAGAGAGAAATATACACACAAACACTCACACACAGAGGGTTCAGAAAAACAGTAGCACAAACACAAATCTATGGAAAAAGGAGCCACAGCTAACATCCACAAGCCTATAAGCTACGAGAAAGACGAAGGCACACCAGAGACTTAGCAGCGCCACTGTTAATTGAACTCATGACTAGGCTACTTGCAACACTTGCTGGTAAGTTCACACTACACAAGTTCCCACACTGGAGGTGGACGCATCATTCATAAGTGATGTTGTTGAGAATGCTGCTTCTAAATGTATGTATATAACCGATTTCAGGCATCTGGACCTTTCTAAGTAATCAACAGCTGAGACTTGCAAAGCTGATATAATCACCTCTGAACTACATTCAATACTTGTCACCATTTCTTTAATTATGTTGAGCCATGCAACACATGTTACATACTCACAAGCCACACCTTGTGTTGTGTTGTGTGTAAGGAGTGTGTGCCAGCGCTTCTCACCTCCTGTAACATGTCTGAAGCTTCAATGGAGCGATTCACCATCTGTTTGGAGGTTTCTTGTATTTCGCCTCCAATAAGAAACTCATCCAGGATGAAATAGGCCTTCTCAAAGTTAAAGATTATGTCCAGCTCACACACCTGAGAGGAGGTATGATGGCTATTATTGCGATTATTATAAAATAATAGAATGTACATAGATTATTAACATTTTACATAAACATGGCTGTGATCTTTATGGCTACTTCAACAGTTAATATGCTCTTGATTTAAAGGTTCAGTGTGTAAGTTTTAGTGGCATCTAGTGGTGAGGGTTGCAAATTGCAACCAACAGCTCACAGTGCATTCACATGCTCCTTGGATGGTCCCATTTCCCGGGTTGTGAAGTCGTTCTTTTGACTTCAGGGTGTTCATGTGCTCTTAAGTCGGAATGTGGAATCAACATGGACGCTACTACAAAGATTTTTTGGATTAGCATTATCAGAGCATTTAAACAACATGCAAATTATTTCTCTTTTTGCACTAAAGATTTAAGAAGGGAAAAAAAAAATCTCATTATTCCGACACCACATGAATGCACTGGTCAGCCATCGCTTTCCAAGTGCACAGGAGATACTATGGTGGCCGACACGTTCTTTCAGCTCTTATGCAAAATAATACATGTGGTCCTCCATTTGTCCAAATTTCTCTTCTTACATTTAATAAACCTCTGGACTACGACTACAACTACTACTACTACTAACGTTCTTCTTCTTCTTCCTCTTAGTACGTCTTCAACGTAATGATGAAACACACTCTGGAGAGCCGTTTGGGCTACTGTAGAAACATGCGCAACAGAGCGATGTCCATGTAAGAGGACCCGTGGTGTCTGTAAATAGAAATGGTTCATTCTAAGGTAATTAAAACATAACAGTTCATTATGTAAGGTCTTTATACACCACTGAAAACATAGTTATGGGTATTATATTACATTTCACTGTCAATGGATCCTCCTAAATATTACACACTGAACCTTTAAGCTACCATAGCATTTCAACAGTTACACTTCAGGCTACAGTTGCATACTGAATAAAAGAAGGGAAACTGAATGAAATACATTGCCAAAGTATTTGTCCAGCAGCTCCACGTAGCGATGAATAACCTCCAGAGCTAACAGCTCATTCTCCTGATTCTCTATGGCCAAGCAGAAAAATAAGCTTGCATACCTGAGGAAAAGGTGACAGTGGTGATTTTTCAGCCGATAGATAGAAGTTAAATGGTTTTAATGGTTTAACTATGAATAGAAAAGAGCCAGGGGTGGGATGGTGGGGGGTAGATTAAGACGCAGATAAAGTAGACCAACACACAGGGGACGGCACCCACCTCTTGTAAATAATTTTCAGATCTTTCCAGTGCAGAAAGTTACAGGAGCGGGGTTGGCGTGCCAACACCATGGTGGTCATGTCCCTGATGATCTTTTTCTTCTCACGTTCTGATATGGGCGTGAACCACTTCTGAAGACGCAGCTTCCCCTGGCGACTGAAGAGCAGCAGGAAGCGCATCTATCAATGCAGACACACCGTAGAGTTAGTTTGGCATGCACGAACCGAGGGGATGACTTGTATGGACACACACACACAAAGTCATTGCACAGGACATTATTAACTACCCTCGAACACACAAACCAAGGGTCAAATGAGTGGTTTGCTGTTGTCATGGCTCATTAAAAAGTAACTCCACTGACCAAACGCTAAACGGGGGAGAAGGGTGTCGGCTAACACATGACTGAGGAAGAGGTAGTTTGGAACTTCCTTTACAATTTTCCACAGAGGTAAGGAAAAGTTGAGTTACGGATGTTTAGAGAATGTGCTTCCTAGCATCAGAAAGAGATTTGGCTACATATCAAAATGGACATTAATTTTCCCTCACACCACACTGACACTATTTCCTTTAGGTCTTCCTCTAATTGTTGAGGTATATGAGTTTGTCCTTAAGTGGAATAATAGCTTAAAGGCAGTTGGTTGTTTTGTGTCGCACCTCTGAGTTAAATTTGTGATTTTGGTCAATATAAATATTTAAACAATTTACTTGAATATCTATGTAAAATAAAAAATCCTCTTCAGCCCTCACAGACCCACCAGAGCAGAGATCTTTTTTAAGCTCATGATGTGAAACAAATCATGGTTAAAGACCTACTAAAACTCCCCTAAAACAGCTAATTACAAGGGATTGTGCACATTCTAATGCACAAGCACAAGATATTTCCTGTTTGTTGTAATGCTGCAGCCATACCATATGGGCCATTGTGATGTGAGGGAACCCCCCCCCCCATTTAAGGACGATGTCAGAATTCACTTGGTTTCAAGATGACATACCAGTTTTTCTGTATATTGAATTGAAACTTTATTTCAGACTTAGGTTCTACATAAATCATAGGAGATTACAATAAATAAATTAGGCTAGATACAAAAGCACAATGCAAGACCATGGTTTAATATGTATAGCCTACATATTAATGTCTTACAAAGATCAGTTGAATGCTACCAATGTCTCCACAGCTAAGCACTAAATCTTAGTAGCCTATGTTTGATAAAACCAAGATGAAGATGAGTGATTAGGCCGCCAAATAAATGTTCCCAGAAAATAAAACCACAAACCACAGTGGGCTATAGGCTACTAGAAAAACAGGCGCACATAAAATCCCATAAAACTGGTATTTCCAGGTGTGTAACCCTGCGCCAACAGATAGGCAAATCAATGTGGAAAGCGTTAAACTGCCACCTGGGCAGGACTCGACGCAAAGTGACGAAACCTGTTCTGCTGAGGGGACCGGTTGAGGAAACGCACACCTTACTTCCGACTGTCGCTTAAAGTGGGGAAGACGACAATTAAAAACTCACAGTAAAAACCAAAATAGGTCTACAACTGCTGTTAGGCGGTCAGACAACAGCGAACAGGCCTCAGCGTTACAGGAAGTGGTGTAAAGGCGTAGTTTCTAGCTTTAGCTACCTGACGGCGACAACAGGTGCAACAGGTGAACAGCCTGACTCTATCAGCTAGCCTATAGTCACGCGTAGAAAACAAACACTTACCATTTTGAACCTGCGCCAAAAGATATAAACACATCAAACGATTAAAAAATATGACACTTTTAACCCTTACAGCGGGTCAACTGGTGCGGCTGAGCGCATATCTGTCCGTCGTCCACTCCACTCAGTGTGAAAGTTGCTTAACTCCGCCCTCCTGACCGCCGGAGGAGCGGTGCCCGTCGGACGCGTCACCAGACCTCGCAACCATCTGGATTGGTTATTGCAGATGTGTGTTAAGGGATTCACCCGAGCAGCAGCCCATCACGACATGCTAAGGTTGACCACGTGACGTAAATGTGCCAAGCGTTTTAATGAATGAGTTGATAAAACTTTTGACATAACCTGACTGTCAGCCGCGAGTGTTATTTCCACGCAGCGTCGGCAGAGAGCAGCGCAGGCTCTCTCCATCTGCCTGATTCATGTGATACCTACTGGTCTGTCACAGTGGCTGACAGGGACTGGCAAGCTGGTACACTTTTTGGGAATAACATGTCTCTGTATCGAAATGCTATCTGGTTTTTGAATGGAATTCACCAATATACAAGGTCAGTCAACACTACTTTGACCAGTCCTTACTTTGGAGCTTAATAGAGATCTAAAGAAATGGCTGTCAGGGGAGGCTTTGTGAATTTCAGTCCGTGTACACAGTAGGCTATATTGTCCTGCTTGTTGACTATAAGTGGGCTGTATGAGTTATTGTTTGTAAATCTTATGTTTGCCTGAAACCTTCTAAACAGAATATCAAAGGTCTGATCACTGTATGGCACACATCACTGCACAAACTGGCCTTTATATCCAGTTACAATAGTTCCATTGACAGCTGATGTGTATTCAGGATGACATGTACATCACCTGACTCTAGTGAAGCTAACACATGGAGAGACCAAAACAAATGTTCAGTCTTGTGACAATTTGATTAAAAAAATGTTTTGGGTCATTTTAACTTGAGGCTCACATTGATTTGTGTGTTTTCCCGCCTGCCTTTAGGAAGGGACATGGGACAGCGTCTAAAGACTTCAACCCCCAAGACCTGAATGTGTCTGTAGTGGGAAGGTCTTTTATGATCACCGGAGCCAACAGCGGAATTGGCAGAGCGACAGCCATGGCTATAGCCAAGAAAGGTAAGTGCCGGTTCTCTTGTCATGCCCCTTAAATTACTAGAAATTAAACTCTCATGTTTTGTTTCCAGGCGGGACAGTCCACTTGGTGTGCAGGAACAAAGATAAGGCAGAAGAGGCCAGGGTGGACATTGTCAGTGAGTCTGGGAATACGGTGAGGGTTGCTCGCCTTGAACATGCAAAATAAAAGGGAAAGAGAAGGGAAAATGATGATTTGTGAGAGTGAGAGAGAGAGAGAGAGACTCATATGTAACATGGTTATTCTAGGAAGTATACATCCATGTAGTGGACATGTCAGAGACACGCAAAGTCTGGGAGTTTGCAGAGGCCTTCAAGAAGCAGTATCCATCCTTGAATGTGTTGGTAGGTATTGCCGGTCTCCTTTAATCTGGTTATCAATTTCTTTATCAACTAATAACATTGATGTGGACTCCGCTATTTGAAATCTTCTGAAATCATTTTCTTGGGACAGATAAATAATGCAGGGTGCATGGTGCACAAGAGAGAGGTGAATGCTGAGGGGCTGGAGAGGAACTTTGCCACCAATATTATGGGTGAGACCTCATTCTGACGGTCAAACAGCGGCACACTGCTGTATAGATTTAAATTAGTGTCTTTTTTTCCTCCATCTCTTCAGGGGTGTACATCCTCACCCAGAGTCTCATACCACTTCTACAGAAGAGCCGGGATCCGAGGGTGGTAAGAGCACAGACACACACACACACACACACACACACACACACACACACACAAATAGACACAAGCAAAGTGCTCATCTGCATCATGTGGACAGCATAATGCCACTTCTGTCCACGCTGTTAGTGGCTGTTGTCTATGCACACTGTGCCTCTCTTATCCCTGCCTGTTAGATCACTGTGTCCTCGGGAGGCATGCTGGTCCAGGAACTCAGAGTTAATGACTTGCAGTCAGAGAGGGGCCGCTTTGATGGTGTCATGGTCTACGCCCAGAACAAGGTAGGAGAGAAGAATGTAATACAGGTTCTAAACCAACAGGGATGGAATGTAACTTTTACTCAAGTTCCGTGCCTAAGTAAAATTTTGAGGTACTTGTATTGTACTTTCCATTATGATATATTATTATAGATTATACTGGCCAGCAGTAAAGTAATTAAAATGAGCCCCACCTTTACCAGCTGCAACTTTAAATGATCCAATATGATTCTGAAATGGGCCATTCTGCATAATGAGCACTTTTGGTACATTTATTAATTATAAATTAATTATTATATTTTGATGCTAATACTTTTTAATTTTACTTAAGTAAGATTTTGAATGCATTTTGATTTACGTCTGAGTATTTAGTATTGCTATCTGAATATTTATGAATAGTTTGAATGAACTATCTCTATGGGTTGGGATTTGTCTGCGTAATTGAACAGAAGGAAAAGAAACATAAAGTAGTAATGCAAAATACATTTACTATAGTAGTAGTTGGAGCGGTAAAACCCTAAACTGAGGCGACAATGTGTGTGTTTCTCCTTAGAGACAGCAGGTGGTGCTGACACAACAGTGGGCCAAAGCCAACCCGGTCATTCACTTTTCTGTGATGCATCCAGGCTGGGTAGACACACCAGGTACTTGCTCACTACTGGAAACTATATTTGCTGCTGATATTTTTCTTTGTCATTGATCTTTAAAAAAAAGCCTTTCAATGAACAGAAAATCGCACACATTGCACTTGCACAGCAGTTATTCTCCTGATGGTGGTGCTATAGCAAATGTTTAAAGACCAAAAGAACCACACCAAAATTCACCGGACATTACAGTAGGGGGAGAATCTGAAGCGCTTCGATTGCAACAGGTTTCATTAAAAGTAACTGAGAAATGTAGCATTTATACAGTCTGTCCCTTCCCATGTCTTATTTTTCGTTTTTCAAAAAACATAATCTTGAGACCTGGACTAGTAAATACTCTGTGTGGTTGTTTTGAAACTCCCAAATTTGAACCTGTAACACACCAAATTTGTGAACATAAACCCCAATATAAACATCCGCCTTCAGGTAAAATTAATATTTACCTAATAGCTATGATTTTGAGCTGAGACAGAGGACACGAGGTAGATGAAGTATTTACACTTTTTAAAAATAGTTTTGCTACATTTTGTATCATTTAATTGTTGAAATTGAAAAGGTAAATGAGTCTGAATTACAGTGCTTTACAAAGCAGAACATGTTTTTTTATTTCAATTTTTTCCCTATCATCCACATTTGATGAAAAGAGTAAGTGAATTTTGAAAATGCATTTTCCACTTTGGGTTTCTAGCTGTTTCTACATCAATGCCTCAGTTCCACCAGAGGATGGGGGAGAGGCTGCGTAGTGTAGAGCAAGGAGCTGACACTGTTGTGTGGTTGGCCTTGTCTAGAGCTGCTGCCAGAACACCCAGCGGCCAGTTCTTTCAAGGTGAGCCGCACAAAGTCTGACAGGTTCTTTCACTACGCAAACGGAGATGTCCCTTTTATTTAATCTTCATAGGTGAATCTCCATCACCTGCCATCACTTGTTCAGACAGACTGTTTGTGTTGCAGATCGCAGGCCTGTTCCCACCCACCTGCCTCTGGCCTGGACTCACAGTTCTGCTGAGGAGATTCAGAGTTTCATGACTCAGCTGGAGACTCTGGCCAAAGCCATTCAGTCACAACCTGATGCAAAGCCTGACAGCTCTTCCAGCCCTCACTTGGTCTGAACTGTGATATTAATGTTGCACCATATGTCACGAATCCAGTAAAGCATTAGTTACAGTAAGATCAATATCTGAAACTATTGGCATATTTGTCATGCTTATTCTTCTTTGTCTAATGCACCTCCTAATTTTACCCATTTATTTAAAACTTATTTTTCAGGACAGTGCATAGCTCAGTGTCACCTTATATCTGTGATGTCAACGTGTCATCTGGACTGCATTGAACATGTAATTAACTATTGATTTGTAGACAAAAGTCATTGATTTGGAATTAACATCTCATTAGCAGTTACTGAATGCATGTGCAATGCATGACAAAACATGGTTATATCTGGTTACCTGTAAACACGTGCATGTCTGTAATGTATGTGATAAAACAGGATTCCATTGAGGATCACACATGGAAGTGTATTTGTGTCTGAACAGTAGTCTGCAGTGCTGACATCTTAGATGTGCAGTAGTTACTGTTCCGCTTTGTGCTGACACTTCTGAAGTTATTAGATATTTGCATTAAGTGGTAATTATAATGGAACATTAAAAGCCCAGTCTGATGAATGTAATGTGAGAAATTGCACGATCTTCACAATGAGCAAAACTGGTCTCAATATTGCCATTTTCTTCATGTAATATTTTATGAAGTTTTAATTAGAGTAGATAACAGTTCTGGGTCCTTTTTGGACATAGCACCTGGACAGAACAGACATTTCATACTGACTGCAGTGTGAAAATCACAATAAAGTAAGTATGTAAGAGTCAAATGTAGATGAGCAAAGCATTTCTGTGAAAAACTACAGAGCATCAATACTCATTTTTTTTTTATTTTTCTTTTGTAACAATCCACATTTGCTGTTTTTAATAATTTTATTATTTTTTATACAGTATTGAAACAAAAAAAAAAATGTGGTGCATTCACATTTTTCCCAAGGGATTCTTTGCAAGTTTGATCTCTACATGGGTAAAACAGTGAAAAGCTTGAAGCTGGATCCATCCATGTTAAAACTCACAGGGAATAGGAAGACTGGGCCTGATTTAAAAATCATCAATATAAGTTTTGTTGGATTTCTTTTCTTTTTTCTGAGCCAACATTTTATTCCCCATTTGTGTGTTTACTGTGTTTTTGTAAGGGACGATGAATCAGGTTCCCAGAATTTGTCTTTAAAAGAAACTTCCAGTCCATGCGTAACAACAGTCCAAAGAAAACAAACAAATCCCATCCAGTCTCTTCCTCCTCTCATCACCAGTTCATCTTCTACGCAACGTAGGTGTACACTTTACGGTCTTCTGGCGTCCTCGCCAAGTATTCTCTTTCTATAAGTCCTTCTATACGCTTTTTGATTACCACAGGGCTGGGAAGAAAACGTGCCCGGAGCTGCTGAGTCACCTGAAGACAAAGTCACAAAATATAAGAAACAGCACCTGTCCTACAACTTCTCTGCAGAACTTGGGAGTCACAATAAAATATTTAAAAGTTTTGGGATCAAGAAGTGGAACAGATGGAAAGCTATACATTAAAAAGGGAAACCGAGCTAAATTCATGTTCTCATGTGGGTTCCTTACCTCTGCCACCAAGACGTTGTGCTGCATCTTCTTCCTCGACTTCATGATTCTGACAATGGCTGCCTCAATCTCATGCTTCCTGTCATCATCCACTTTCTGCCGCGTCTCTTTCCTTTCGGGGTCTGATTCTCCTTGTTTAGCAGCAACTGGGAAAGTAGTATACAGGAACAAGATGAGGTTTGAAGAGAAAATGCAGAAAATCTCTCGATGTACTGTTTAATCTTAGCAGAAAGGCCACTTCCATGTCACAATATATTTTTTAACAGAAGACTTCATTTGCCATTAGGCTGAAACAATACTGGGGCATTCCGTTCATATTCTTAGCTGAACGTATGTACTACTGTACACCAGGTATTGATACTGTAGTTATATAATAACTTATATTTGTTAAAAAAAATCACAGGATGATCAACTTTTACAAGTGCAGTAGTCCTCAACCATTTAGCTTACAGTACAGAAAAGGTTATTCCACAGTATCATGTTTCAGATTTCCAAAAATTAAACCTTCTAACCAAAGACGCAGTACATAGTATACAGACAGTAGTGGACAGAACCTCGCCCAGAAGTGAGGTTGAACTTGAGCTCTCTGTAGTGACGATATGTGGCATCGCACACAAAGTTTGCCCACCTGTCTGTATTTTGACTCTGTGCAGTTTGGAAGTGAACTGATCATTGACTGTAAACACGTGGCCGCTCTCAATCTCCTTGGACTTTGGCTCCTTGGTCAGCACTCTCTGTGTTGGCTTCCCACAGGCCAACGACTGCAACGCTCGCACCAACTCCCTCTCAGGAATATCTGTCTCCTGCTGGATCTCCTGTAGAGGGGGGACAAAAACGGGCGAAGAGGTTGTAAAAACGGGCAGATCATTGTAAGATTCTTTCCTCGCTAAGAAGGATGCATGTAAGTCATACAGTAAAGCAAAAATAACCTCTACAAAGACAAAAAGATCTAATTGAAGAGTGAGGTCAAGATGGCCAGGTATAGGTGCTTTGCTGTGTCCCCACCTCAAAAGTGCACTTTTCTCTGTTATTGAAGAGCATGAGGATTGTCATCTGGAAGGTGGAGACCTGCAGTATGTGCTTCCGGGTGTTTGAGCCGGTCACCTGAGCACCTCCCACTCCCACTTCTGAACCATCCTCCTGCAGATAAAGTAGAAGGGACAGTAGATTTGTGAATGATGATACTGCCTTGACGTAAACGAGTTGCTTCCCGATTCCAATACTAAACAGCATCATTGCATCGTGAATAAAGTGGCTGACAATAAACCTGCATTTTCAAATGCCATTCTACCTTTTTAATAGCTCCATAGAAAGTTGCGTTTAGGTCTGCCCCACCCATGTGGTGTTGCAGTGTGAGTTGTCTACCACTGTGCTTAGCGAGGTAAAACCTGTGAAATAAAAGCCAGGAGCAAGTTTTTTAGAAACCAACAAAATTTAGCCTGCCTATGTATAGTAAAAAATAAATTGAGTGAATTTAAGAGCATTACCTTCTAAAGACTTCAAAGGCATGTCTGGGAGCAGGGGGGATGGTGCATTTAGGTGTTGCCGACTGTGTAGGCCAGTAGCCAGTGGTGAGGACTCTTACTGTGAGGTCTACACCACTTAGAGATGCCTTAAAGAGATAAAAGAAATTCTGTTAAATAGAAATTAATAAAAGCTAACTGACTCTTAGTTACAAAATAAGTGGTACACAACTATGGGTTACTTTTTATGACATTCTGATGCACTAATAAATGTAAATTGCGCAAAAAATAGCTTCATATCAAACATGGGTTTTTAAGTGTGCCCTGTTTAGAGTCACTTGTGTTTGAGTTTTTCTGAAAGGGTGTCTCACTGCCTTACCGATGTGGTCTGTATGTGTTGCCTGAACTCATCCATGGTAGTGTTGGAGATGCTCATGTCTCTGAACATCCCTTCCAGTTTTGAGGTAAACTGACAGCCGCATTCTGTCTGTGAAGGAGAAAGACAGAGAACAGGGAGTTGAAACTACTGACGGGAACAGTATGAGGGATGTGCACATACATCTGGCTGCAAAACTGTCTCACTCCCTTTACCTTGAGCTTAGAGATCATGTTCTTCTCCGAGTCATCTGAGACACTCTTGTTGCTGAGCAGCCTGCGGCCCAGATGCTGCTTGTAGTACCTTTCAAACACATCTTTCTCCTGCATGAACCTGAACAACACCATGGCCTTGTCAAGGATTGACTCCACCTCCTGTTCTGTCAACTGCTCAAACCAGATGGGGAGAAAATGAACGAGGCAACGTGCAGGACATACAAAACAAAATAAAAAAAAATAAAAAAATAATTATATTTACTTTGTGTTGAAAAAAACTCAAAGGAGCTACATACCCCTTTGACACCCTTCTTGAGCTTGTCATCAATAAAGAGTGAAAGGTACTCTGGTGAGCGGGAGTTGAGATTGAGAAAATACTCAAAGTCTCCTGCTATGGTTTGTTTGAAGAGTCTGTCATTGTTGAAGGACTCGAGGAGGAAGCGATCAAACCGTGTCTTCAGGTCTAGCAGGCCCTGTTAAGGACGCAATTACAAAGAGGTGATAAATTCTATTATGACATTTCCCTCTCATTTACAGTTTCACGCAGGGCTCTGCAAGTCTTCAGACATAAAGTTGTGTTTTAAGAATCATAAAAACCAGCATACCTGGATGTAGTCGACAGGGTTTTTGCCCTCTCCCTCTTCTGACACCAGAGCTTTGCCTTGCTCCCTCAGGTAAGAGCTCATACACTCGCACATCGTTTTCAGGCCATTTGGCACACGACTGAACAGCTTGTACATGCATGCCAGGTCTGAGAGGGAGACATGAGAGGGAAAAACAATGAGAATTGTTGAGGCAAGGCCGAAAATTGATAATCCCTTGATTGAAATTATTTCATTTTCATCATCATCAGAATTAATTCAAAAGAGAAAAATCTATTAGGAAATGCTTTTACCTTCTGTCTTGCCGTTTTTGAGCATATGGACAAGGCCAGAGTTCTCCATCTCCACAATGGTCTTCATGTGTTTAGAAATGAGCTCCCTTTCCACCACCTTGACAATGGGCTCCTCCGTAGTCTTGTCCAGGCAGTGCATAACTCGCTCAATCTCTTCATTGATTCTGGCCTCTACCTTTTAATGTAGACACTGGCACTGTTTTCTGCTAGGAACTTTTGGCTCTCCATCTGAAAGAGCAGGTATTGTGTGCTGTCGATTTTTCAGTGGTTACAAAAAACATACAGACACTGAGAACCTTCTGTAGACTTACCTGGAAGAATTCTGCTGACATATCTAAGAAAGGGCCCTCAAAGTCCTCCTCATATACAGACCTGCCGTCCAGGCCAAGAATCATCAGCATCTGGCAGGCATTTCTGATGGCGCCCCTGCAGTGAATGATAAAAAAATAAATAATATGCAAGGCTCCCATATTAGCAATTATTCAAATGACAATTATAATGTCCATGTTTACATGCTCAGAAAATAACATATTGCAATATTAAGATCAACTAAAACAAACTGGAGCAGGCCCACAGTTCAAACAGTGCAGTAGTGTTCCTGCATACCTGTCTACAACCTCTCCCTTCCTCTCACGGGCAATCATGTCCAGTAACGTCTGTCGTAGGTGGTCTCGAATGCAGCCGTAGCGCACCACCTGGTCCCTGAATATGATGAGACCGAGGTTGTACACATTCTCCACATTGTTTTGTTGAACATAGACCCGGTCCTGGGAGACGAGAGATGGTCAGAAAGTTAAGAAACTTTAAGCGCAGGTACATATTTAAGAGTATCCTGTTTGTATGAAAGACATTCACTTTACCTCACTTGGATGTGTAGTGTATAATGTAGGTTTGTATGCTGAGCATCCAATGTGATTCAATGTCCTGCAAAGTACTTTTTTATGGGGGCTGGATATGCCAGCAAACCTTTCATTAAACATTATACAATCCCACTGACGGGTTGCAAAGCTTTTTATAAGGTCATTAGAGAGTCAGAATAAATAACTGGTAGGTGTTTGAATTGTTTCCAGAAAACATAAAGTTACAATATAAGCTCCTTCCAGAAAGCATAAATATTCAAGGGGGATGTAGGTGATAAAATATTTACCTTCCCACTCAGTAGCAAGATTTTACATCACAAATGTCCTAAATTAGTACAGAATTACAAATATTAGCCAGTGCCAAAATACTGGAGGTAGATTTTACTAGATAA